AACTCCCACTGGGCGTGGGTGTGTGCAGGCGTGCCCAAGATCCCAAGAGGAGAAAAAAAAAAAACTAAATAGGACCAGCCAGTAGAATGGTGGTTAAGGTAGCTGGATCCTACTTGGCCAACTACACAGTTCAAGTCCCAGACCCGGCATATTGAAAAACACACCGGCACATGTGTGCCCAAAATCCTGGAAGGAGAATGGAGGAGAAAAGACTGCTGTTGTGGCCATCCCTCTGGGGCTGCTCGCTCGCTCGCTCGCTCTCTCTCTCTCTCTCTCTCTCTCTGGCAAGCACATATACCCTATAGCAAGTTTTAAAATAATAATAAAGTATTGAGTTGTTGGGAAAGTCGTGATGCATTTTTGCATAGGAAAACATAGAAAAATATGCCATGATTTTCCTGACGACCTAATAAATAAGTGAACTGAGCTCGATCCCTCGACTCGGGTTGGGGAGGCCACCAGAAGAAGGCTGAGCTGAAGCAGGAGAGCGTAGCACCTTTCCCTAAAACCTGCTCTCTTCCACCAGCCTGTCCCAGCCCAGGCCACAGCCACACCCGGAGGGCAGTGACCACGGCCCTCCCCGCACTGTACAGGCCGTGAGCGGTGCTGGCACGTCACAGGACAGGCAAGCGCACAGCTGCTGTGGGCAGGTTTACCCAACTCCTGGCTTCGGAGCAGCTCCCTGGAGAAGACAGTAAGACTAACAACCAGGGAATCTTCTTTACCAAATCTGGCAGTGCTTGGGGTCGCTGGGATTCAGGGTGACTTTCTTTCCTGAGGCCACACGCCGGCCGGCCACCTCACACACAGGGCAGTCTTCCAGGTCTACACACATCTGCAGAAGCTCATCCAGGATTTTCCCTGCACAGAAATCCCTCATTAGGGGCCAAAATCCCACCTTCTCCACAAAGTTCCTCTTCAATTAAAGGCCTGTCCCAGAAGTCAGCCCTGCCACCTCTCCGCTCAGGGGACATCCTTCCCCCTGTACCTGGCAAGGTGTGGAGGGAGGGGTAGCCGCTCGCCACCTCCCCTTTGCTTTATCTCCACATGGGGGGGGGGGTCCTTCCCCTCCCCCAAGCCTCAGGACAGATCAGATGCAGGCTTATCTCTGAGGGGCTCTTCATTCTCCTGAACAACGTATTCAATAACTTCAGGGCTGCATTGTCCAGTGTGACAGTCATTAATCACACGTGGCTATTTAAGTTTAAGTTAAATAAAATTGTGTAAGATTAACATTCCAGGGACTGGCAGGTGGCATGGTAGTTAAGGGCGCTGGACTCCCACATTGTCGACCATGGCTCGAGTCCTAGACCTGGCGTTTTGCTTTTTCGCTCCTCTCTCTCTCTCTTTCTCTGTGTGTGTGTCCCTCTTGGTTAAATAAAAATAAACAAAGGTAAATCAAATGATTCTTTAAAAACAAAAAAATTGACAAAATTCCATTCCTCAGACACACTAGCAATGACTGCGTTCAATGGAACATGCCCACCACATCAGAAAATGCTGCTCTGTGAGGCCAGCAGGTGGCGTGGTAGTTAAGGGCACTGAACTCCAACATAGCTGATCATGGTTCGAGTCCCAGTCCCAGAGGCTTGCTTTCTCCCTTTCCATCTCTTTCTCTCTCTCACTCTGTCCCTATCTGGTCAAATTAAAATAAAATAAATAAAGTTAAATAAAATAATTATTTTTTAAAAAATGAAAATGCCACTCTGGGGCCAGCAGTTGGCATGGTGGTTAAGGCAATCACATGGCCTACAATGGTTCGAGTCCCGAACCCAGCAGCTTGAAAATCATGCCAGGTGCACATGTGTGAGTGCCCTAAATCCTCAGAGGAGAATGGAAAAGAAGGGATTGTGGCGTGGCCATCCCTCTGGGGGTTATTTCTCAGTTTCCCTCTCTTTGTCTCTCACATGCCTTACGGTAAAAATCTTTTTTTTTAAAAAAAGTGTTGCCCTAGATGACAGACTTACGAATAGATACATGATTTGTGAAGCAGCTCAACTTGACAAAAGTCCTAGCTGGCCTGGCTTTGAAGAAAGGACTCACGGAAGCAGAACCTGCTGTATGGCTGTGGGGTAGGGTCAGAGGGAGGCGGCAGGGCTGAAGCAGGACAGAAAAGCACCTTTTCCCCAGAGCCTACCCCTCCCACCAGCCCGTCCCACCGGAGCACAGGGCTTCACCTGCTGGGCAGTGAGGGTGGCAGCCCTCCACACACTGCACGGGGCATGCCAGTGGCTCCGGGTGCTGGCACGTGACAGGGCAGGCGGGTGCACAGCTGTTGTAGCGCCACTCGCACTCGTAACCGCTGTCCCGGACATTCCTCTCCTCGCAGCTCTGGGCTGTGTAGACACAAAGAAAGGAAGTGACCGTGAAGGCCACAGGAAGTCCTCTGCAGCCGAGAAGCCAGGACTACAGGGAAGGCTGGGCAGGTGGCAGGGAGACACCTGGGAGTGACAGAATCGAGTGACATGGTGATCAAGTGGGGAGCTGAGAAACCCCTGGAGTCACTGACACTGGAGACGGCTGGAGTCTTCAAGCTTATCAACCCGGAACCTAGCGCTCCAGGCAGTTCTCCGTGTGGAAACACTGTCCCCTGTGAGCGAGGACGGCCACATGCTGCACCGGCCGACCCTCACTCTGGCACACACGCTAGGCTGATAGAAGACGTGTACAGGCTTCCTCCCCATCGTCTGCGTTCCCCCTTGTCTTCCAGAATTTCTCCAGCAGAAACGTAGTCATGTGCTCACGTCCTGCGTCCGTTCCCTCCTCACGGGAACTCCTCACTCATGCCCTTGTCTCTTCCCTCCTTGGCCGTCCACCCCCACATAGATCTCCACCTTCTCTGTCATGACGATGTCCCCCTGAGCCCCACAAAGTCTCGACGTCTAGACACGCACGGGTGAGGAAGGCTGTCTGAGTCAGGGCAGGACGTCAGGACTCACGGCATAATGTGGCCGTCCTCCAGGTCACCACCTTGCCGTGCTGGGCACACACATGCGCGTAGGCAGCAATGGCGTCGCAGAAGCAGGCACAGTCCCCAATGGACTCACAGGAGCAGGTGTCGTAAATGCAGACATCCAGGTACGGCTCAGGGTTCACCTGCAAAGGGAGCCTCAGGTGGCCCAGGCCCAGAGCTGAGGTTCGGAGCGCGGGCTCACGGTCTGGGTGAAATGTTCTGGGGGTCGACATAAGGATAAGGGGGTGCCAGGGCAGGAAACATGTAGGTCACTGGTCCCAGAGAGGGGAAGAGTGCAAGTGGAAGGTTCTTAGGTTCTAATCTGGATCCCAGCAAGAAGCAGTGCTGTTGGCCTATGGCAGTATACTGTGTGCCTAAGAATTTCTCAAAGAACATCCCTTCTACCCACCTGTCCACTCCCTGCTCAGTCATCGACCCGCCCCCACAGCCCACTCCTGGGGTTTACATAAACACAGACGCATGCCGCTCACTCTCCTTCCTGGCCTCATTCAGCAGAGAACGGGGGATACGTCGGGACAGGACCCGCTCAGGTGGCCTCACTGAGGTGCTACAGGGAGCTCTAACCTCTGAGCACAAACTACATGGAAGACGGGCACCACCCACCAGCACATCCAGACACTAGCTACTTCCCACCCTTCCTGTTCCCAGAACATGCTGCGTACTGGCCTTTCTCAGAGTGGCTGTGACAGAAATGAATCAGACCCTAAGTGGATGGCTATTTCCGAGGCACCCCTATAGCCCTGACTTCCCTGACCACTCTTCCAACGCAAGGCCCAGTGTTCCCACCAAACCGGGGTGTCCTCAGTACCCTGGAGTCCTCACGGACTGAGGATCACTGGATGGATAGGAGATATATTCAAATCCATGTATGGACACACATTCAACCAGTCATGCCTGTGCTGAACATGGCTGTGTGTGCATATGCACATGTAAGCACACACCCACGTACATGCCCACAGACAGGTGTGTGCACATACCTGTGGTTGTATGCACATGCCCCTGCATGTATGTGCAGTTGCAAACGTGTGTGTATGCATGCACAGAGAGAATTTCATTTCCCTCTGGGGATTCCTAGTTGGTGTCTGAGATAAAGACATAGGGGTCAGAAAGTGAAGACGCCAAAATCACTGGCATTAAGGTCAGGAAAAGGTCCAGCCAGACAAGGAGGAGACACGACAGTACAGTAGTTCGTGTTTTTGGTGGGGGACTGGTTCTTGATCTGGAGACATGGAGCAACACAGGAAAAGGAAACCCCTAGTTCTGGGGTCGGAGCTGAGAGTATGCAACGGGGCAGGCGAAGCCTAAGACTGGGCCGGGGCCAACGCGCTGGCAAAGGCCGAGGAGGGTTGCTTTCTGTGCGGAGGAAGATGCGCCGCCAGGCACCGCTTCCCCGGACACTGCTGTCTTCCTGTTTCCCAGCCAGAAGCCAAGAAAGGGCGGAAGTGGTGTCTGGAAGCAGGTCACATCAAGTCCTGATCATGCTCCCAGAACCGGCTGACCTCCGATGTCCCCCGCCACTGTACCAACTCTCAGGGTTTATTCGGCTCCCGTTACCCTCAAGGTCCTCACCAGCTTGTTGCAATCCTGGAAAATGTCACTGGTGAGGATGTGACAGGAGGAATCCACCATCGTCTGCTTCATGATGTTGCTGTGGCAGGTGGCAGGGGACGAGTCCAGCAGCACCTGGGAACCAATTGACTGACAGCTGACTGAGGTTCGCCAGCCCAGAAGGACCCAGGAGCCCTCCTCCCCCAGTTTTGCACCGCGTGCAGCTCATACACCCACCATGCACCCTCCAACCCCCGTGAGAATAGGAAGTGGGCCATGCCAGGAAGGAACCTCACCCACTGAGACCTCAGACGTACTTTCCTGGTGTCGGCACACTGAGAGCTCACTTTCCAGGAGTTGCCAAAGTCCACGGGGTCTTCCTCCACTTGGAGGTTGCTGCTGGTGAGGTCGTTGTTCTGGATGCCATCAAAATTCCCACACAGGCCACACACTTGCTCCTGGATCGACAGGGTGAGGGTGAGCACTGGAAACCTCGGGGGCAGGCTCTCTGTTCAGTGGCAGGGGAAGGTTCCAGGTGGCAAAGGAGGAAAGGAATGCAAACCCAGGGAGAGCCTGCGTGGCCTGCCAAGCTGTGCCCTGACTGCGGTTAGCCAGGGCCTGTTCAGGGGCTTCCTCAAAAACCCTATTTTACATGTCATTTTTCTTGTTTTGTTTGTGGCTAACAGACATATGCATCTGTTAGAAAGAGACACAGAGAGAAAGGGGGAAAGTGAGAAAGCACCACCCCCACAAAGGGGATGGCCATGCCACAATCCCTTCTCTGTTTCTCCTTTCCGGATTTTGGGTACACAGGTACATGCACCAGGTGTGTTTTTCAAACTGTCAGGCCCAGGACTCAAACTGCACAGGCTGTCACGTGGGATCCAGCCGCCTTAACCACCGCATCCCCACCCCACCCCCCGACCCTATTTGAAAGTTAAGGAAAGAGATGGAGGTCGCCTGAATCACACGGGCAGCGAGGGCAGAGAATTCGGCAGCCTTGGTCCTGGACTCCCTGGTGTGAACTGTCCCCTCCCCACAAGGAGTCCGAGTAGGGAGAACAGCGGGTTTGACTGCGCATCAGTGACCGAGGAGGTTAGACGAGGGGACAGCACAGCCCTCCCTAACAGTGGCAGGCGAGTCCCCTGCCTGGCAGCCACAGCCCATGCAGAGCAGACTTGTCAGAGTCCCCTCGTAACAAACGCCACCTGGGAAGACCTCGCTCGCTTACCCCCATGGCCCCCTGTCACAGCATCCAGCTGGCACCCCGCCCTGCACACACGGCTACTGAGTGAATGAAAACTGGCAAGTACGAACTGCGGAAAGAACGGGGTACCTGGCCTGGGAGAGAAAAGGTATATTCACAGGGCATCTGGAGTCCCACCTTGGGACAAAGAGAAAAGGTTCCTTCCATTTGGCTTCTGTGGGCGAGTGTGGCTTGCTCAATGGGTGGATTACTGGGGAGTGTGTACGAAGCACGTCCTCACAGGTGGGATCAAGGCCAGAGAGCTTGAGCTGGCCTAACAGCCCCACAGTATGACGTGGCCCTCCCCGCCATGTTCCCTCCCGGGCTCCCCACGCCCCTCCCTGTTCAAACACTCCAAACACTGCCACCTTCGGGTCTCTGCACATGCTGGTCCCCCCGCCTAAATTCTCTCCCCAGATATGCACATGGCTTGCACCCTGCCTTCCCCGAGGACTCTACTCAGAGGCTACCTTTCAGACAGCTCTCGTCGGACCAACGTACCGACTAATAGCCTCACTAGGATATGAGATCTCCACCCGGGCAAGGGGAGACAAAATAGTGCCCCTGGAAGATGCCCTCGGCCTAATCCCAGAATCGCCAATGTGATCGCCAGGCAAACGAACAGAAAGACTGCCTGAAAGAGTGGGTTAAGGGGCCAGCAGGTGGTGTGCAGGTCAAGGTACTGGATCCCACATGGCCGACTTCACGCTTCAAGTCCCTGACCCAGAAGCTTGAAAAACACACCAGGCCCACACACACACGTGTGCCCGAAATCCCAAGAGGAGACTAGAGGAGACGGGATTGCAACATGGCCATCACCCTGGGGGTGATTTCTCACTCTCTCTCTCTGTGTCTCTCCAGCAAGTGTACACACTCTAGCTAAAGCTAAAAAGGGAGAAAGCTAAAAAGGGAGAAAAAAATAGATTAAGATTTCTAGATGGAGATTATCCTGGCTTATCAAGGTGGGCCTAAAGAAATCAGGGTCTGATGAGGTGGCATCAGAGTGTGTAAGGCAGCGTGACAGCCAGAGCAGAGACAGAGACAGGAAGATCCACTGCTGGCTGGGAGTGCGGAGGAGCCAATTAGAGAAGCTCCCCCACGGAGCACCAAACCCTGGTAAATACCGTAAGCTCTGTCAGAGGCGGGTTTCCTGGGCTGGCCCCATGGCCAAGCAGTTGAGAGAGCCAGGTCCCACATGGCCGACCACAGCTGGAATTCTGGTCCTGGTGGCTTGAAAACCATGCCAGAACCAAGTGCGCGTGTGTGCCACACCCCAACAGGAGGGAGAAATGCAGCAAAGGGACTGCATGATGACTATGCCCCACTGGGACGTGCTTCCTCCCTCCACCCCTGGCCCCCCGGCTCTCTCTGGTGAGTGAGCACACTCTCTGGTAGTTAAGAAAAAAAAAAGAAAAAGTAGGTTATTGGCTGTTTCACAGACAGCTCTCAACATGCGCTGGCCCGTGGCTCAAGGAAGGCGACACCCAGAACCCTGTCAGTGTCACCATAGTACTGCACAAGAGCAGTCTGCCTCGTTAGGTCAAGACACCTAAAGGGAAGCTGATACTGCCCGATCTTGCACTTCTGCCTTTTGTGAAAAGAAACTGCAGGCCTAGCGCGGCCAGGTGAGCCCTGCATATGCGGGGCCACCTCAGTCCTTCCCCACGCAGCCGGCCCCAGTTAAAGGCCAAAGCCAGGTCTACGCCTCCATCTGTAGATTGACTGTGTGAGGGCAGCTGGGCCAGATGTGACAGCAGGAGGAAGAGCAGGTGCCCTTAGCGAGGTGACAAAGGCCAAAGGACGAGTCCCATGCAGGAGCAAACAGGAAAGGCCGTGACCTGGTAGGTCTGCTTCAGGACCACCGAGATGCCCAGGCGGCGGTCCCACACCACGGAGAGCGCTTTCCCCAGCAGCAGAATGATGTACCGGCCGGACTCCACCACCTCAAAATGAGTCTCATCCTTCATGGGCCTCTTCACGTTCACCTGGAGAGGAGAGCAGGGGAGCAGGAAGATGAAGGACTGGCCGCACAGCCAGACCCGCTCCTCGTCCACACCACACGACTGCCCTGCACAACCTCACGTGTTATGTGCCCCATTCAGGCAGAGTGCGTCTCTGCAGGGCCAGCAGCACGCCTCGCGCTTCCGTGTCCCTCCCACCGACCACGCTCTGACACTCGACTAAGGGACGCCAACTGAGGTGGTAGCAAAATCTTAGTTAGGAGAGTAAAACACATCGAATCCTGCTGGAGAACATCGTGGCTCCTCTTTTCATACGAGTGTGTGTGTACATGTGTGTCTGTATGTGTGTGTACATGTGTATCTGTGTGCGTGTGTACATGTGTGTACGTGTGTGTAGATAGGAAAGCCCTCCTCCCTCCAGTCTCGCCACATCCAGGGGGCGCTGTTTCCGCCATGCTTATGCAGATGCAGTTAGGCAGCCTCCCCATGCAGACGCCTACACTTTAACTAAGAGGGCCGAGTTACCCACACTGGTCTGGCGCTTGTCCTGGTGGAATCACACGTCACGGGCAGACGGTGTAGCTCTTTTGTGGCTGTGCTGCTTCTATTGACACAAATTCTAAACGAACGCCTGACAGGGCCCCTCCCCAAGCCGCAGAACGGGTGTGCGGGAGGGGACCAGGCTGCACCTACCTCCCCGTCAGACAGCTCAATCTCCCCCCCTTCCAGCAGGATGGTGACTCGCTTCTTGCACTTCACGGAAGGGTAGCTGCACCCCTCGTTCCCCACCAGGATCCGAAAGGTCCCAGGGTTGCCGCCGCAGTGATCCTGGGGAAAGAGGACCGCCGAGAGAGAAGCATTGCCCCCGATACCTCTCCCAGGCTGAACTCCAGCACCTCCTCCTCTTAGGCCTCTGGGTATGTGTTCTGGGATGCCGCCACATCTATGGGCACGCGTGCGTGTGAGAGAGAGAGAAGGAGGGTCATGCCCAGGTGAACTCCCTCAGTGTCACCCTCAGCCGTTAGAGATGATCGGGTGCCTCATCGGTGGGGTGGGGGTGGTAATGAGCACAGGGTACAGCGGGAGACAGCACAGGGGAAGCGGGGCGAGAGCCTGGCCTGCATCCCGTCAGTTCTCAGGCTCTGCCAGGTCACAGGGCACCAGGGGCTCTAAATGTGACTGAGACTATTAACATGGGCCATGCATCCTGAGCTGCATCTCAGTGGGGAGAAAGGCCCTCGTTGGTCAATTGCACAGAAAATTAAGCAAAAGTAGACATGTTCTTGTAAGTAACTTCCCTGTGCTGGCTGTTACTGTGATGAGGCAGGAAAAAAACAGACCGTGCAACTTAGAAAACTAAGTGTGAGGAACCAGTGAACGCATAATGGTTACATTGCTGGACGGCCATGTGGTAGACTGTGGTTCAAGTCCTGGACCCGGCAGCTTCAAACTCACACCAGCATGTGTGCATGCATGCCTAAAATCTTGAGAGGAGAATGGAGGAGAAGGGATTGCGGCATGGCCATCCCCCCTGAGGAGTTCTCACTTTCTGGCTCTCTGTCTCTCTGTCTCTCCGGCAAGCACATGTGCCCTATAGCAAAAGTCTCTCTAAAAAAAGAAAGAAAACTAAGTGTGAGTCCATTCGCTAGGTCACAGAACAGTCGAGTAAGTCACTGTGCTCTCTGACACACATGTGTCCCTACAGACACACACACACTTACACACACATCCCTACACAGACACGGACACACACACACACTTACACACACATCCCTACACAGACACGGACACACACACACTTACACACTTAGACACACACCCCTACACAGACACGGACACACACACACACACACTTACACACACATCCCTACACAGACACGGACACACACACACACTTACACACACATCCCTACACAGACACGGACACACGTAGACACTTACACACATGACAGGCCCTGCCTACGCAGACACACATATACACTCATACGCACAGACACACATAAACACACAAACACATGCACACATGTGTATGCGCATGCACGTTCATACATAGACACATGTACGCATGCATTTACACCCATACATACCTATATGCACACCTATACACATATTCACATATATACTCACACAAACCTAGACACACATATACACACATACACACCCACACACTCATACACACATACCCATAGACACCTACACACCCATGCACACACACCTACACAAACACAGACATACACACTCACATATACGCATTAACTCACACACACGTGCACACCCACATCCATACAACACACACAACCCGCTCCTCTAGAAGGTGGGGATAGTCAACTTAAACAGGTCTGCGTTCAGTTAACGGGACTGAGACAGTTAAAGAGGGGACAGGGCCCAAGTGCCTCATTTGTTCTTGTCACCAGTTGAGATTTTTCTGGAGGAGGAAGAGGGAAGTCCACGCACACTCCAAAGGAGGAAGGGTACAGGGGTGGGCCTGGGGTGGAAGCTAGGCAGGGACCCCAGAACCAGAGGCACACAGAGGGGCTCGGTCAGGAGGGAGTCATTGATATGGATCCTGCCTGGGGATGGCTGGTCAACTGGACGCACCCATGGCTGTGTCTCAGGCTGAATCAGCAGGTCTGTCTGGGTGCCCAGATCTGAAACCTGCTCATATCTGACCCACAAAGCTGGGATGCTCCCTTACCAAGGCTGGGAGGCAGACAGAGAATCGAGGATGGGCCCCGGGGAGGCCTCAGGGCACCCTCAGCTTCACGCTGTCACCCTGCCTCCCAGCACAGGGCTCGTCTCTCTGGGCCAGACCAGGCGGGTGTGGCAGATGGGGCTGGCAGTGTCGCTGCTGCTCCCCCACTTCCAGCATGCTTTGCACACCATGGCAATCGGCCCCAATGCTACCTGGCTCAGGGGTCCTACAGTCAGTCTCTGGGGCTGGGGATTTGTGGTCCTCTCTCCAGACCACACTGAGACCCACCCCTGCCTCTTCCTGAGCATGGAGACAGACCGACCGCAGATGTTTAAAGCCTCACAGAGTAGAGCGTCTCATCTCTCATGAGACAAGAACTCAAATGTCCTCGCTTTCCCACTTGGTGTCAGCCAAGCAAGAGAAATTTACAGGAATCCACTCAGAGGAAGAGGGAGGCAGAGGGGTGGTGACCTGCCATGGGCCCCTCGTCCTGCTGGGCAATGTGACTTTCTGTGCCCCATTCTCCACTCCCCCCCTACTCAAATTTGTACTCAATTCAGAACGAAGATCTAAAGGATGGCAGAGCAGGAAGCAAGCCAGGGGTCATTTCAACTGTCCCCTGTCCAGGGCCTCGGGGACTGTTCACACACAGGCTGGGGAGGGTGAGCAGGGGCTGAACTCCACCCCAGGCCACACTCCCGCCGTGCACCAGACTGAGCACTGCCCTCTCTGATCCCTCACTGCTGCTAACGTGGACCTTACTCCACAGCAGGCCTGGTCGGCGCACGGGCTTTGGTCCCGAACTCGTGGCCTATGCTGAGCAGAGGGAGAGTGGGCAGACGCTCAGTGTTTCAAAGCCCCTACGCTTCAGGAACCTCTCTTAGGGACCACAAAACTCCAGTAGAAACTGAACCTCAGGACAAAACGGTAGACAGAACAGCAGAATCCGACCTGGAGACCCCAGACTGCAGGGAGCGCCTCCCGGCCCTGCCTCAGGCTCACCTGCACCAGGACGTACTGGCAGTCCCCGGGGAACATGTACTTGAGCCCGTCGAAGGTGAGGTAGTGAGCCATGCCGATCACGGAGCACGTGGCATCGCACACACGGTCCGTGCAGTTCCACTTCCGGTCCTGGCAGACACTAGGAACAGCAGGGGCAAGGAGGACGTGGGGGCTCAGCTAGGCCTTGGGGAATGAGGAGACAAAGAAGGAGCAGAGAATGCTCCAGGGACCACCTACCCACCAGGAAGCCTTGAGCAATTGAGGTAGACATGCAGGCTGCCCTCCAGTTACAGAAAGGAAACTGAGGCAGAGAAGGGAGAGCTTTGTCCAAGGTGATTCAGGCAGCTGGGGAGGAAGCCTGGACCCTCACTAGGCCCCTTGCTGTGGATCCGCTGAAGCTCAGCCTCAGTGTGGAATCCACGAGTCTACCTGAGACTGGCCACAGGGTCTCTAGGAAACAGACACAGGGAGGTTGAAAGCCCTCTTAGGCTAAGGGGAGAAACAAGACAGAAAGTTCTTAGTCTGGAAAATAGTGACGCATGAGCTTCTACCAGGAGAGGTTCTGTGTACGTGGCCAGGCGTTCAAGTCCACAGTGACTTGCCAAGTGCCATGCGCCCCTTCCCACCCTGACCCCGTAACCAGAGCTGGCGTTGGGAAGCCCATTTGTGTGTCAGAGGTGGGAAGCTCAGACCTTAGGCCCAAGAGATATGCCTCTGTCCATGCGTGCCTCTTTCTGGGGCTGCAAAGGTAGGTGGGAGAGCAGGGGAGGGGTGTGTGAACAAAGGCCAAGGAGTAGGATGAAGGGGAGCGGTCACCGTCCCTGAGTCCCTACTCAAGTCGCATCATCTCCAGCACAGGGACTGTGCCACGGGCAGGGTAAGGCCCGAGGGCCAGGGACCCTCTAAGCCCTGTGCCCACAGGCAGCTTGGCCAGATAAACAGTCCTGATGTGGGTGAGGTCTTTGTCTTCCCAGGGCCCATGACCCTGAGCGGAAATATTATTACTAATCTGTAGGGTGGTGTAAGTCAGGCCAGCGCAGGCAATGATAAAAATGTTCCCCACTTAACAGAGGGAGAAACAAGAGACACAGAAAAGAGGAAAAGAGCAGCCAGGTCCCCACGGGGTGCCAGGGTGGGTGTCTGCCCCTCGCTCCACCCGCTGTGCACCTCCCGGAGCCTCACCACGTGTTGCAGTCGATCTTCACCGTCTCTCCCGGTGCGTACGCTCGGCCCTGATGGAAGCAGGGACACCTCTCCAGGGCCACGCATCTGTTTTCATGCCGGACCTAAGGGAAAAGACGCCAAAAGGCTGGAGGGCCACCATGCCTGATCTAAAATTCCACTGGGGCAGTGTCGTCCGGGGCTTGCCCCAGGGAGACAGGAGGGAGCCAGGAGTGAGCAAGGGGGCAGCCTCAGCCACAGGCCAGGCCGGCGGTCCCAGGCCCATGATGGGCAAGTGCAGGCACCAGCCTACCCTGCTCCTGCTTATCAGCAGGCCTCGTCCTCTGCCCTCTCCTGACCTGCTAGGGGCGTGTGACCTGGGCTGCCTTTGTGAAGACATGTCACAAACACACGTCAGAGCCCTTGAGAGAAGCGTGTCCTCAGACCCAGTCATTCCACGCAAAGGGCTCTTCCAAAGGAAACAGGGTGGGGGCCTGCCCTGCAGCCCAGAGGTTCAGGAGCTGATTACACACGGCCAACCATGAGTCCAGTCCCAACCTTAGCTCGAAAACTACACTGGGCACAGGTGTGCACCTGCCCCAACTCCTGAAAGGATGGAGAGATGGAGGAAAAGAGGTTGTGATGCCATCCCACCAGGGGGTGCTTTCTCCCACGAGTGAGTGCGCTCTGTCCCTGGCAAGAGCACGTGCCCGCTGGCAACTAAGAAAAAAAATAAAGAAAAAAAAAGAAAGCAGAGTTACGGACAAGATTACACAGAGATTATTTGTTCTTGCAAAAGAAATGGGAACAATCGATGACAGGAAAATGAGCAAATCTCTTAAGGAAGGCCAGGGACCGGTACACAACAGAGTTATGAGACCAGGCCTTCCGAGGGACCTTAAAGGGTGTAGAAAATGCTGCTAATTTGTAAAACAGGGAAGAAAATTGTATATACATACCGTTCCCGATTTTATATATATGTTTTAAAAAAAAGACTAGAAGTGAATAGGGGGAGTTGCCTCAAGACTGGGATAGAGGGAACCAGCAGTTAACGTAATGGCTATGTCGCTGGACTCCCACGTAGTCGACCGCGGTTCGCGTCCCGGACCCGGTGGCTTAAAACTCACGCTGGGCGCGTGTGCATGCCTGCCCAAGATCCTGAGAGGAGAATGGAGGAGAAGGGATTGTGGCGTGGCCATCCCCCCTGGGGAGTGATTTCTCGCTTTCTGTCTCTATGTCTCTCTCTGTCTGTCTGGCGAGCACACGCGCCCTGTAGCGAAAACCTCTCCAAAAAAAAGACTGGGATAGAGGACTAGAGGCTTTTTTTTTTTTGGTTTTAAACTCTCTTTCCAAATGCTTTTTAAGGAGTAATATTATAATTAAAAACAGACGCTCTATTTAATAAAACATGCACTTACTACCCTAGAGGTGAGACTGAGTACTGGACCTAGCAGAGATGTATCGAAACCTCAGGGGCCTGTCTAAGCCACATGTGCCCCTCCTCACCCCCTGGAATTGTTTTGTTTTGTTTCGTTTCAAGTTTATTTATTTATGTCTCCCATGAGGAAGAGAGAGAGCATCTTCACGCTGCATCACCCCAGTCTCAGCCAGCTGGGCTCACCAGCACAGACACACGCTCCCAGCAGGGGGTGAACGACGCCTTCCTGGTGGGTCTAGTTACATCGCCACCACACCACCACCAGCCTCAGCCCTGAAGTTCTGTAGTCTCCCTCCCTACCCGGCCACTGGGAAGGCACTCATGAGCGTGTGAGGCTCCTCAGACCTGTCGGGATGCAGGTGGGGTCTTGTAGAGCTGGCCAAGCCCACTGTGAGACCCAGCTTGTAGATCTGCCCCGGTCTCCGCTCCAGATGCAGCCCTGGCCATCAGCTCTGACATGGCCCAAGCTTGAATGGTCTCAAGGAGGCCTGGGTCACCTCCAGTAAAGGGACCGTGGCACCTTCCAGAGCTACCTAACAGCGAGGCGCTCCTAGCCTGGCTTGCCCAGACTCCACATGATCCGTCGCTCCCCAGCAAACCTGTCCCAGGGCTTGGAAGCACACAGAGCCCTGAGAATAGGATAATCTCAGGATGGACACATGTCAACATCTTCTGTGAATGTGGACGTGGGTGGATGTGGGTGTGGGGGGATGGGGAGAAAACTCTGCCCCACCTCAGGAAGTGTCTCTGAGTTCCTGAAAGCCCAAGACATGATGGGACAGGATGTGAGACTACCATGTTCTTGGTAGTCTCACCCCTGGGGACCACCCTTCCAGGAAGACGGTGCACACTGGTGCCATCAGGGAAGATGGCAGCCTGGCAGGAACAGGGAGGGGCTGAAACGTCCCTCGGACAGGGCTCTCCTAGCTCTGTGACTATGAGGGTGGATTCTCTCCTCCTAACCTCTGTCAGGGCTGACTTGGCCTTGAGGCCTGCCACCTGGTCTCCGTAAGAATGACTGACACACCCAGAGGGAATCATGACATGCTCCCACATGGATGCTGAAGTGAACAGAGACCAGACGATGAGCCTCGTTATCAGAAGCAGGAAGTGAGCCCAAAGGGACGCAAAGGCATGGGAGAGATTCCAGGAAACACAGCCCTGGGACCTCGCCTGCCTCAGCAACCCACAAGCTGTACCTGCACCTTCCGCCAGGGTGGGCTGAGGGTTCCAGGCCTCTCTCTCTCTGCATGCTGGACCCTTCCCCTCTCTCCAAAAGTCCCATACATCCAGGGCCCAGGGAGTCCCTCCCCTTGCCCAGGTGAGAGGACTATGGAAGCCTCCAGGGGACACAAAGCTCACTCACAGCTGGCCACCACTGCCGTCTGAGCTTGCACTGGCAAACCTCAAGGCTCTTCTCCACCTGACCTACGCTATAAAGGATGACTACTGACTGACGGGTTACGATGTGAAAATAGGTCCTTGATATGAACTGAGGACTGCTATAAGAGCAAAGCTTGTGTGGGTTAGATCCGTAGTGAGAGCTGGGGAGGAGACAAAACAAAACCCTAAAGGACAGGAAAGACTTTCTAGGCTACCAGAGGCTTCCTGACCAGAAGAAGCCCAGCCAAAGGCACCTAAAGAATCCCAAAGCAGGGCCAGCAGATGGTGTCGCAGTTACGTCGCTGGACTCCTCCCACATGTTTGGCCCTGGTTCAAATCCCAGACCCAGTGGCTTGAACTCATGCCAGGCATGTGTGCATGCGTGCCCAAGATCCCAGGAGAAGAATGGAGGAGGAGGGATTTTGTCATGGCCATCCCCCCGGGGGGTGATTTCTCACTTTCCTCTGTCTCTGTCTGTCTCTGTCTCTCTCTCTCTCTCTCTCTCTCATGAGTGCATGCATCCTAAGGCAAAAAAAAAAAAGAAAAAATAGAATCCCAAAGAATTAAAGAATGTGATGGAAGAGAGAGACATAACACAGGGTAGGACGTGTGTGGACAGAACTGTTTGACAGCATTGAGGAGGCCAGTATCACAGTACCTAACTGGCAAGTCACTTAAACTCCACATTTAAAATGGAAAGAGTTAGGGACCAGCAGGTGGTGTAGTGATTAAGGCACTGGACTCCCATGTCACTGACCATAGTTCAAGTCTTGGACCTGGTGGCTTCTCACTTTCCCTTTCTTTCCCTTTCTCTTTCCAGTCAAATTAAAAATAATAATTTTAAAATTAAATTTTTTAAAACTATTAATTTCTTTTTAAATGAAGAGAGGTAGAAGAAGCAACAAGGAGACCCTTCAGTCCCAGAGATAAAAGGACCAGTAGGCAGACCCAAGCCAAGCCGCTCACCTTGAACTCATCAGTAGGGACTCCTGCCCAACCTGCTGTGGGGGAGGAGGCGTCTACCACCTTACATTCTTCTACCTGTCAATTCAACCTCCATCCATACTGGGAGCAGTTGGGCTTTGGTATACAAGAGCCAAACACCTGAATATAGGAGACTCTGGAGGAATTCTTTTCCCATAACTCCCTTAGCAATAAAAGGAGAGAGACTCCCCTCTGAAAACCTGAACCCAAAACTCCTACTGTGAATTCCACACTCCCACCCACAGTCAAGGAGGGAAATTGGCACAGAGCTTACGCATATCACAGAGAAGTGCAGGAGCACACAGCTGCAGGAACACTGCAAAGGAGCAGGGAGAAGTAAGTAAAATCACCAGATGACTAAAACCCAAAGCAGAGTCTCAAGAAATGGGAGAAAATCAGGAAATCCCTCCCCCTCAAAGGATCATAACTCTTCACCAACAATGCATAAAACACAAGTAATCACAGAAATGTCAGAAAAAGAATGCATAACATTCATGGTAACAAAACTCCACAAGATGCAAAAGAAAACAGAGAACCAATTCCAGGAGATGAGAAAACCCTTCCATGACTTGAAATAGAAACTACGTAAAGGAGATCCTGAAAAAGAATCAAAGAGAGTTTCTGAAGATAAAGAATATACTGCAGGAAATCAAAACCTTCCTCAAAAATATCAACAGCAGACTAGACCATGCAGAAGAAGGCATCTCTGACCTTGAAGACAACACCCCCAATTTAGTCCAAGCAACTGAAGAGAACAGAAAAATAATCATTAAAAGTGAGGGCAATATATGGGAAATCCTAGACACCATTAAACAGCTAAATACCCACATAATAGGTATTCCAGAAGATAAAGAGACAGGTAAAGGCATAGAAAATATCTTTCATAGTATATTAGCTGAAAACTTTCCAAAGTTAGAGAGGCATGCAGACATCCAAATCCAAGAAATACAAAGAACACAAAATAGATACAACATAAGATCCTCTTCAAGGCATGTTATGGACAAATAGTCAAAGATCAAAGGCAATATCCTAAAAATGGCAAGTGAGGAACACCAAGTTACTTTCTAAGTTTACCCCATTAGACTAACATCAGCTCTCTCAACTGAAACAGTGCAGGCAAGGAAGGAATGGGAAGACATATATACAACTCTGAAAGAAGAGCAATTTCAGCCAAGAGTACTATACCCAGCAAGATTAGCCTTCAAATGGGAAGGAGAAAATAATTATTCCCAGATCAACAAACACAAAAGAATTCACCAAAATGAAACTGGCTCTTTAGCAAATACTTAAGAAACTTCTATACCAGGAAAGCTAAAGAAA